AAGTGGCTAAAAGTGATTGCCAGGAAATAGCCTGATGAATAACTAAGAAAAAACCCATCAGAGCAATTAAAAAAAATGATTGAAAAAAATTAAAAAAATTAAAAAAAATGAATTAAAAAATGATTTGTCGAACACTCCACATAGCTGTTTATATTAACATGAGAACCACACATCTTCTGGTCCAGTTACATTTATGGGTAACATTTATGCAGTGTTTTTTCAAGAGCCAATTCTGGGCCAAATCAAGCAGGAAGAGTTTTGCCTGAATAAAAGCTGAGTAGGACTTCACAATTTGGCTTTGGGTGCACACCCAGCACTCTCTCTCCCCTTAATGGTAGTGTTTGGTGGAAAGCAGAGGACTGAACCTTGCAACACCAATTAGACAATTAGAAAATTGGTTGATTTAGGGACATAGCTAATACTGATGCTATATCCTCACTGAATCATCTCCGAACACAGGCTTAGTTGAGCAGCACTACAGTTGTCGTGGAGCTGCGGTGAAGAAGGGAGTGTGGATCAGAGAAGAACTTTACCTTACAGGTCTTGGTGATTCTCTTGCAGTAGGAGAGCATGGAAATGGTCATGTAACAGCAGATCCTTCAGATTTGATTTCTGGGTGCTGTCATGCTGGGAATTTGCTTGGAACTGGACACAGTATTATTGAGTTCCCTTATTTGTCTAGGTGTCCTACAAGACATGGTCAGAAACTTTATGTGGAACAAAAAGTAAGGTCACATGCTTGAACTTGTAACACAAGAAGCAAATGGATTCTTTTAGTAATTTGGAGATAAGGTGCTGAGCATCAAGAACTCTTACCTCAAATACAGGACAGCACGGGTCTGCTTAGTTTACGCAAAGAGTGCTTGGCATCTCTATATAGGACTTCATGTAATACCCAGTGATTTCAAGAACTGTTGAATCAAACCCAATCAGACACTGCAATTATGAAACCCAACCTGAGCGAGCTCCAGCTTCTGTATCTGTAACTTAGCTTTTAAGTTAGCATAACACTGCCTTAACAGCAGAAGGAAAACATGGGACTGAGTTTTCCAAGGTGATTTGGATATCCAATTCCTGTTCATTTTAACTGGATTTGGGAGTCTCTTTGGGGCCTGGAAATCTTAGCTTTAATGTTTAATAATATCTTAACTAAGTCTGTAAACTGTGTGTGGTAAGGAGTATTTGCATATGTATCTGCTGAGTCAAGCACAGTGAGCCCCAAGCTGAATGGGGCTTCTTATGTAAATATAAAAAAGTTAAATGAGTGTGTGCATTTATACACACAAGGAAATGACCTTTTTAAGCAACACCTATGGCTGGATCTGTTAGTGATAGAAGACTTGATTTTCATAGCCCTTTATCAGAAGTTCAGGTATTTGATACTTCCAAAAAGCAAGACAAATTCTTAGAGGGTTTCATCTCTTGCACATTTCTGAGCTTAGTAATGTTATTGATAAGCAATACATTGGCATTTTATTCCAGACTTCAAAAATACAATTATCCATGGAAACAAACCTGAAGTTCCACTCAGCTTGGTGTTAAATCAGAGGTGTCAAACATCTGGCCTGTGGAAATGTCACCAGGTCCCTAGTGCTTTTCGTGAGCTGGACCATGTTCTTCTGCAGGCCAGATTCAGCCAGCGGGGCTTGTCACCGTGGTTTCTGGAGGCACCCCCAACTTACCCACTGCCAAAATCAGGGTGTTCAGTCACCCATGGTAACTAGAATTGGTGCCAGGGGAAGAGGTGGGGTGAGCAGCAGCATAATGGAGTGGGTTCCTGAGCCATGCTGGAACAGTGGTTCGGACAGCCATGGGAATTAATGCCGCCATCCTTGTTCACAGGTCATCTGGCCCACAGGAAGCCCCACAGTCTGGTTTTGGCCTGGTGGGGGGCAAACAAGTTTGACATCCTTATGGTTGATGTTTCTGGGGAGAAAATTATTTCAGGCATGGACACCAGGGGATGAACTAAACAGATAAAAATAAATACCCCTCCCCCCAATTAAAATAGACTAACTTGAGGTTAAGTCCTGCTGCTTCAAAGACCTTTTCCCAAATGTAAAATAGAATGGAAAATTATACATGTAATAGCTGTACCATTTCCAATAATGTTACAAGAGCTCTCCAGTCACTCTGGCTGAGTAATAGGGCTGTGCGAAACAGCAGCATTTTGCTTTGACTTCCGTTTCAACAGAACTGTGTTTCGTTTCAAGTTTCATTTAGTTTCAAAAGCGCTGCTTTGTTCCGTTTTGTCAAAATGGTTTTGCTGTTTCAACATTTCACCCATAGGCTATAATAGGGAAGCACGAAACAGCCTATAACTTTATCATTTCTTGCTTGATGCTGATGAAACTTGCAGGGATGGTAATCCTTTCTGAGGGCATGAAGCCTGCCAGTTTTCAAGGAGATGGGTGTAGGGGTTTCTACAAAACTGTAGCTCAAGCAGCTGACAAGCAGGAGCTGGGGAGCAGGAGCAGCCCCCTGCGATCCGGCAGGCAGATCGGGGGCCCGCACCACGGGGAGGAGTCCAGCAGAGCCCCTCAGCCCTCCCTGGGGGTGCAGGCAGGCCCCCGATCTGCCTGCTGGATGACAGAAGGCTGCTCCTGCTGCCTGGGGCCAAGCGCTGGGGAACTGAGCCCAGCAGCAGGAGGCACTTCCCTGCACTGGGCTCAGTTCCCAGTGGCTTGCAGCCCTGGGGAACTGAGCCCAGTGGTGGGAGGCGGAGCGCAGTGCTGGCTGTGCCCACCTTCTGCCACCAGGCTGAGCTCCACAGGGCTGGTGGAGCAGATCGGAGTGTAGCCTGGTGGTGGGCAGAGCTGGCGCTATGCTATGATCGGCTCCGCCAGCCCCATGGAGCACAGCCCGGTGGCGGGAGGTGGGGAGAGCCAGGGCTGTGCTTCCCACTGGGCTGAGCCACATGGGGCTGTGAAGCCTCTCAGAGCACAGCCCTAGCTCTCCCCTGCCTCCCACCACCTGGCTGGCTGCTTTGAAATTCGAAAAATTTTGAAACTTTTCAAATGTTTTGACTGGCCTCGTTTCGTTTTGAGGCTGTTTTGAAGCCGTTAGTTTTGTTTAGATTTCGCTGTTTCAAGCTTGAAATGAGTTGAAACGAAACAGCTGGTAAAGCTTCGCACAGCCCTTCTGAGTAACATTGATTAAATCAAGGAAATTCTAAAGCACTTGTTCAACTGAAGTAAACTGACACTGTTTTATGAGAACTTTACAAGGTCTTATTCAACCAAGTACCCACACAATTCAAGATCAGACTTTGCATTGTCCTTTACCCACCGCATCTAGAGACCCCAGAGAATATGAAGAGTGTATGATCCTATATATGCCTCACTTCAATATCAAGCTGTAATGGCATGTCTTTATCTGAAATGTATTGGAGTGGTTTTTTCTTAAATTATCCTCAGAAGTGCTAGTTTGAAGGCACTAGATATTCCATATTTCCATTTATTCACAGATAGAGAATAAGCAGAGTAATTTAAGCTTTCCAGCATTATCACAGTGACAGCCTGCCACCGAGTCTGGAAGAACTACTAGCTATGTTGAGAAGGTAGTTCAGTTTCCAGCCCCCAACTGTGCAGTGGATTTGTATCTGCTAGGACAGGGGCAGGCAATTATTTTGGGCAAAGGGCTGTTTACTGAGTTTTGGCAAGCTGTCAAGGGCTGCATGTATAGTCCTGCCCCTTGACAGGTGCCCCGCCCCCTGGCTGCCATCTTGTGACTGGAAGTCCTGCCTCCTAACCCCCGACCTTTGTCACCAGAAGTCCCTCCTATTGCCCCCAGAAGTACTCCTTTCAGCAAGGGGTGTTGCAATCTCAGAACCAGAAAAATACCAAATAATATTCTAAAAATGTAACATCTATCTATAACATTCATTAATTTGATTTAAAAAAATATTTTTGTCCTGATTTATATGTGTTTGTGTAGAGTACATAGAGGTAATCAAACAGTAGCTTAAAATGAAGCCTTAATCTTGTCTATTGTGGGGGGGCATGGGTACAGATTTGTGGGGGGCTGTTAGTGTGTGGGTATGTGGGGTATGGGGGTGTGGGTTTGGGGTGAGGTAGCATGTGTGTTTGTGTGTGTGTGTGTGTGTGTGTGTGGATATGTGGGGTGTGGGTGGGTATGGGGTTTGTGGGGGAAATGGGATGTGTGAGGTGGTGTGGGTGTGGGGGTCTGCGTGTATGGCAGTGCAGGGGGGTACATGTGTATGGTAGGGTGTGCATGTGGGACTTACCCTATGAACACACACATGCTCACACACTCTCTTTCTCCCTCCCCTTGTACACACACAGACACAACACACAAAGTCTCTCCCTCCCTCATTGTGCGTGCACACACACACAGTCTCTCCCTCCCGCATAGCTCTCTCTGTCTCTCTCCCCCTCCCTCATTGCAGGGACACACACATGCATATGTGCACACACATGCATGCGCACACACACGTACACACACCCTCCCACTCCTGGCCCTGTGCCCCCGCAGTCCAGTGATGCAGTTGGAGACAACATGGTGCCGGAGCAGCTAGCTAGCGTGCAGGGAAACAATGAAAGCTGTGGCAGGCAGAGACTTCTGA